CAGTTTCATGCTCTTTGCTTCAGTGATGCTATCTAACCATCTCACCCTCTGCCGTCCTCTTCTCCTTTTGCCTTCAATGTTCTCCATTGGGTCACCTTCATCTCTATATGCAGAGAATGCTGAGGTGGGCGGAGATGTCGGGCACAGATGAGAGCAGCCAGCCAGTGAGTTCTCTCACCTCATTAAGTATCAGCGCTCTAGTTAACAGATTTAACCGAGTGAGATAGTTAACCCAGTGCGTATTTGTACTAGCTTTACAAACTCGAGTCCAAATTATTCTGGCTTGACCACAGGCCTGGACCGGTGCTGATTCCAGACTGTTGCCACTGCATGAGCTGATTAGTTGTTCCCCCACTTCTTTCCCTTCCCATCTGTTAAAGACAGACAAGCTGCGTTGAATGGCTTCATTGTGGACCCATTTGCCAGTGCCTGCCTCTTCCTTTTAGGAATTGCTCCCTCCTCACTAGTCCCTGTGCTTTTCCTTTGCTTTTCCAGAAGACTATACACATGGGTGACTTTGCTTCTCACTCCCTTTCTCACACTTCCTCATCTGAACTGACATTTTGTGGAAATTTCTTTTGGCTTTTCCTGACCACGTCTCTGCTTTTTGACTTTGTCCTTAGTAATGTGCTCCAGATTTGACCAATGGAATCCTGGGGTTAGGGCCTGTCTCCTCTTTATATGGTGTGACTAATGCTACAGGACAATCATGTCCCAATCTTGAGAAGAAAGTCTCCCTAAATTCAGTGGAAGTTACTTGAAGGTAAGCATGCACAGGACTGCGGAATTAGAAAAAGAGGAAGCTGAAGACGGACAAGGATGTATTTCTTTGGGTATCAAACAGCTGTGAGGGGCTGACTGTGGGCTTTATATAGGTTGTAGGATAGATGGACAATGGAAGTTTGCATTTACTGAAGTCTGTGGCAGAATTTCTTTTCCTCTGTAACCTCAGGGTAGTTAGCCCCCCCCCCCCAAACTGGAGGTAAAACAGTAGGATGATCCATCTTTAGTTGGATTCCCAGAAGAGGGGATTGCCAATTGGAAACTTCGGTAGTGAATCTTCCTTGTTTAGCTTTTCTGACAATCACTTCCTTTCATGATTATCACCCTTTTTGCCATTTCCCACTAGTAATGTGCTGGTAGATACACTGATAGCAGTTTAAACAGAATATGAGCTGTATATGAATTTGAGATCAGAGTATCAGGCACATTTGTGTATATTTCAGGTAAAAATATTTTAAAAAATGGATGTATGTGATCAAATATGCAGATAACATGGACCGTGGGAAATGTGTATATACAAATTTGCTTTTTTTCTTTCTTTCTTTTACTTTAAGTCCTTGATAGAATAGATTTCTATTTAACATGAGGAACAAAGCAAATATAGTAACATTAAAAACAAATGTATGAAGAACTGGAAACTCTCAGTCTGAACTATTGCCCTGTGCTATTGCGGGATGCATCACAAAGATGACCTAGAAAGTGCAGCGTGAATGCAGTAATAGATAGTGAGTTGCACTTCTAGGATGTCCACATTGCTGCTACATTGAGGCGGACATATCAGGTTTACTGATTCCTCTAAGCCCAACTCAAGGTGCTCATTATGAAGCCCAAATTTATTTAATTGAGCTTAAAAATGTGTATAATGTCCTTCAGAAGCAGATTTTCCCAGATAATTACCTCATACAGTTTTAGAGATTATGTTTGTTCCTTCCTTCCCGCATGTAATTTGAAGACGAAACATATCGTTGCAACAGAGAAGCAAAGAAAGAAAGGCTGCCTCAATATAAGCCCTAAGCGGAAGCACTCGTCGATTCAAACAGAACCGTGCATGGAGGAATTATCTTGGTGCTTTGTCAAAAGTAGCCAAAAATGTGACACACAGTTATTTTCTATTTGGTTTAACTGCTGAGAAGTGGAAATGCTTCATGAGACTTACCTTTTTCTTCCACCCGGTCTCCTGGAAGGAAAGAAATGCAGTCAATTTTCGCATAAATACAACACTTCAAAGTAAAACTCTTGGAGAATCTGGGCAACGGAACATCCCCCAGAACATTCCACATAAATTCGCAGGATGCTCTGATCTTCAGTTTTTCTCCCCACAATCTTGGGTTTGTTTTGTTTTCTAGTCCTCTAAAGCATATCTGTTGGGCTTTATGTTCCAGTGCGGACCAAGATGAGCCAGACTAACTGATTGAAATGACCGTAACTTTTGAGTGGGTTTTCTGTTCAAAACAAAAATCCAGAAAAGTTGATTTCTCACAGGAAGTGGTATGAAAAGAAAGGATTTGTATGATATGTGGGAAAATTGTCCACAAACATCCAAGGAACTTTTGCGGGGATACAAACAGTCTTTTCCTGGTACGTGCAGAGTCAACTGCATCCATTGAAACTTTCTGAAAATTCCCAGGGAAGAATAGAGGTTTTTTCAAATATAGCAACATTAAAAATAAATCAGTGAGTATAGCCCTTAAAGATAGAGTACTCATGTAGCAATTTAACTTCAAGGGAAAATGTTACTTTTTGTTTGGAAAGGGAAATAGATGTTTTTTCCATTTGAAGATATTTAAAAAGAAAACGTTGTGGAAAAGTAAAACACATTTCAGGGATACAGCAATGCAGAATTGGTGCTATGTTTTCAATGTTTTCAGCGGCATGTGGAGGGTTCCCCATTAAAGAAAGAGCAAGAGTCTGACTTATAACAAGAATGAGAAGGTTGGACAGGGATGGACAAGGGAGACTTCTGCTTTGCAGTGACACACAGTGGACATGGACAGAGCAGAAGTAGCTGTCAGGATAGTGAGCTGTTGTGCAAGCCCTCCAAGCTGAAAGGAGGAATTTCTGACCTTGACTTAAATAGGTGCAACAAAAAGCCATTTAAAATAGAAAATGATAAGCTATTGGGTCCAGCAGTGATGCAGATATACTCTCTGAACTCATCTTCTGTACAGTATAATTCAACTTTTAAAAAAATCATTAGATTTTATCCAGGGGATTTATTTCCTTTTTCTTTAAGATCTCCAGGCAGATTCCATAGAGATCTCCCTCATTTTATCTCCACAGGCTCCCTGTGAGGGAGGTTGGGCCAGTAAAGAACAACTGGCTCAAAGCCATATAGTGAGTTTCCATGATTGAGGATCATCCTGAATCTGGGTCTGCCACTAGAAGTTCATCATACTTTTTGAATAATTATAGAGCATTATTTCAGATAATGTCCACATCCAATTCAGAAATATGCCATTATTTATAAACAAGTAATTGGCATGTCATAGAAAGTGTATATCAGATAAAGTATTTGGTAGCAGGGATAAATAAAGGCCTATTGTGTTTCATTCAGCATGAAAAGGGGTTAGCTGTACATTTATGAACAGTAGTATGTTCTTTTGTGTATTATGACTTACATTTATTTTGAAAAAAAAACACATCTAATACAGTCATATTTACTCATCTGACTCTGATGATCCACCAAACATAAATCAGAAAGGAAATACCCTTAGCATAATTATTCAAGTGTTTTAGACAATAATATTATGAAAGCTTGTTAACTTTTATAACAAAGGAGTGTTATATTGTTACCTTCATAATGATGACTACATTTATATTAGAAGCAAACAGTAATGATAATTCTTTCATTTCTTTAATTGTAGCAGGAACTTACCTTGAAGAAGATTTGTATTATTTTTTAAATCTCTCATCTGGGTCTTCCTTTTTTTTTCTGAGAGAAGAAATGCAACAATCAGTATGTGCTCATAGCGATGCAAAATGTCTAGATATTTTGAAGAACTAGTTTTGGTTTGAGTTGTGATTTTCTTTTCTTTTCATTTTTTTTTTTGGAAAAAAGGAACTGTGGTGGGGATGGTTATATTAGTAGTACTTTTAACACTAATCAGAAATATAAAGTTACATGCATTACATATAACTGGGTTTGCTAACAAAAGTATGTTTGGCATATAACATTAAAAACAATAGCTATTGAAACAAGAATTAAGATGTATTGATTACATTTGCTTTAAAACTTTTGTTTACTTTAATACATTTGTATTCATTTTAATGGTGTTTTTAAAATATATTGTACAAAATACTTTTGTTAAAATACTTTTGTAATGATTCTCAAACACCATTGAATTTGCTGAACTCTAACAAACATAATGCTTCTTCTTCGTCATCTATTTAGGAGAATCAGGAAGACAAAAAACTAACACTGAGATTAGAAGACACCAAAATTGTAGGAAAACCAATAAATTATGTATTCTGAATTTTGTTCTCCAGTGAATTCAACATATATACCAAGTGCTGCTTTTCAAAAAATGCCGAGAAGAAGGGAGCAAAACCAAGGCTCGCAATACACATTGAAACAATGTCTAGTCAGTCTGATTATTCTGACTTTGAATAAAGGTCATTGTTAGCAGCTTCTAATTTGTGTGATTGTTTATTATTTTACTATTTTAGCAGTTGCAAGGACTGATGATAATTGAAATTTTACCTATACTAAGTACATTATCTGCAATTTGCCATTGAAGCTTATTATCTGATTTGACATAAGCATTTCCAAACACTGCTTAATTGTTTGTATGTTGAGAACTTTATGTATTAGGAAATGCTTTGTAATCCTTTAAAAATAGGGAGAAAAGCAAGTACAAAAACAACAGTAGCAAAAAGCCTAGAGGGGAAAAAAAAAGGAGAAAACAGATTTTTCTGCCACCTTTTCTCTGCTTTTATTCCAGGACTTCTCATCTCTTTTCTGCTTCTAGTGGAGTGGCATTAATGTGTGATTTTGTAATAATGAGTCCCTGAACAAAATACGGCAATTGTAGGCCTCTGCATTTATGACTGGGACATATTATTCCAAAGCCTATCTTGGTAGTGGAGTTAGGTATGGGACATGATAGCAGGACATATTTTAAAAGTAGACATTCTATTCTTGAATCAAAGTCAAAGAGTATCAAACCCTTCCTCTGCCACCATAAATCTAGGTCTCTGAATTTGCCCTACCATTAACTCCCTTTTTCTTTGGGTTTATAATTGTGATGAAACTATCCATAATATTGGTGGAAACTTCCCTTTCACCAGTCCAAAGTATGGGACCCAAAATTGGCCTTGGAACCCAATAAAGAACAGGGTGACAATGAAGAGCAGAGGGTATAGTCTTGGAGGTTACCCTTCATTGAATTGGGCTCTTACCCTGTTGACTTAATTTACGGGTAGAGACTGAATAGAGGCTTCTAAACCTAGGAGGGTTGTTTTCTTTTATAGATGATCACAAACATATCCTGGTAGTACTACTAATCTAATTAGCCCTAGCCCTAATTCTTATCTCACTTCATTTCTATTCAGCCTTCCTCAAATAGGGCAATCCATTTCCCACCCTGCAAGCCCAATATGTTGCTTTTGTTTCCAAGGAAAGCATTCAGGGTCTTCTCTTTTCTTCTTGCTTACTTGACTTTACGTATTTTGCATTTTCTGCAAACCTTCAACTTCCTTACTGCATGCTGATATGCTTCCTTCTTTTCCACTGGCTTTGTTTTATCTACAGTCCTGCCTGCATTCACCACTGAGTTTGTTATACACGAGGGATATGCACAGTACCTTTTCTCTTGCAATAAAAAAGTGCAGCTATTAGAACAAGAAATAGAATAATTGTGATGAAAAAGAATGGAAGCATCCAGTTCAAGGAAGATGAAGTTGATGAGTTGCCTGAAAAACAGATATAACAAATAATCAGTTAAGACTGGGGTAATACTTACTGTATAAAATGTGTTCATGAACTTTATGGCCAGCCAGCCATAGATCATAAGAGCATGCCAGCTATTATGTTTCATTAAGTTTTGTTTTGATGAAGACTGTATTTTCTCCCATATGATCCAAAACAAGTGTTTAGAGTACTCAGGCACATTGGTGGGCCAAAAACAACTAGTGTTAATATTAACACAATAAAGAAAAAGATGATCACATATGGGCAATTCCAGGGAAGTTTGGTCTTGGTATCTGTGTGATCATATGAAGCTATAGCTTCATGCCAGACTGTTAAATCATGCCAGCAATCTTTCTAAAAGTTCAGAGAAGCTGGAACAGGTTCAGAAAAGGGCAAGAAGGATGATCAGGGGACTGGAAACTAAATCTGAAAAGGGAGCTGGGGTCACTTTTTCCTTGAGAAAAGGAGGGTAGAATATGACAAACCTTTTTCTGTACCTGAAGGAGTGTCACAAAAAAAGCTCCAATGATCTGCCCCGAAAGGCTTATGACAAGGATCCTGAGTTACAGATAAGCAACTCTGGGTTGAATGCTAGGAAAAACTTCCTAACAGTAAGAGTAGGTTAATAGCAGCCCAATTCCCCAAAAGAGATTACGTGCTTTCCTTTTACTGCATGTTTCAAGTGGAGACTGGACAGCTAGACGTCTATCTAGCATGTTTTAATTTTCATTCTTTTTCTTGGAGATTGAACTCCATGCCCTAAATACCTCATTCCAGCTCTGATTCTATGTTTCTAATATTCCTGGTTTTGAATTATTTACTGATAACTTAGTTAAGAAATCATATAGTTTGAGGGAAAATTGATGGTAAAAACTCCTTTAAGAAGAATAAGTTTTTTTTTCTGTCACACAATATATTAAATAATATATGTATATTAATTTTTGTACAATATAGTATCCATAGTTAGCTCAGGTAGAGAGTTTTAAAGGAATCCTTTTAGGATGGAGCTGTTTCCAAATGGTTTCCCACAATCTGGGATATTTCTTCAAAAAGCAAGTATAAGATGCTGAATTTCAAAATGCTACCTTTCCTTGATATATTTTGTTTGCTGAATAATTAAGAAATGTTTATGTTTTTCCCTCATCTTTTGAAAATATATTTTTCTTAAGAATACAATGTGTAATAATTGATTGTTTCCCCATTTTAGGAGACATTGTGTTTATAAAAATATCCACAATTTCAAAGAGACTTACTCAAAAAAGGCTATGTGGTATTTAAAGGAGCTGAAGGGAATATTTCTAGAAGGGGAAAGCTGGGGGAATAACTGTGCCTACCAGATACAGTTTGGGTATACTGTGCATGGCCTTTCCAAATTCTCCACTAAACTCATAAGCAGATCAACCGTGTAAATGATTGCTGCAGATTTCTTCAGGGAACAGAAATAGGGATTTTTCAAAGGCAGAGTTCCCTTCCTAGTAGGACAGTAACTCAGCCACTAATAATCTGAATCTTATTACAATGTGTACCTTTTGAATTTTCAACATGAAGTACTATTTGGACCTGATCAATCCAGTCATCAGCTGACTTGACAAAGCAACTGTAGCTTCCTTCATCAGACATCTGGACCTTTTCCAGCTTCAAGGAGACATCTCTAGTGTTCAATCCTTCTTCGGAAATGACTGCTCTGGCCTTATAGTCCTGCCCATAGATTGCCTCACCAATAGATGCTGTAAATCGATAGATGTTCTGGATGGTACGGTTGACTTTTTTGTTCCACTGAATTTCCTTAAGTTTTACTTGAGTCTTAAAATTGACATGGCATGGTAGGATGACATCTTGGCTGACACTTCCAATGACAAATAAGGGGGAATTCAATTCAACATTGTCTAGAAAAAATAGTTATAAGTTTTTTTAAAAAAATATCTAACAAACTAATGCAGCAGCATTTCACATTTGAGTCTAAAATTTCTGTCATAATAGCTCTGTATAATTAATTACTTTTGCCCCTGCAAATAACTGTTCATATGAGACATTAGAAAATGAGCATGATGCCTGAATCATCAGTCATGAACATTTCACAACTTCCTTCTGGATAAAAGGCTCTGGTAATTAGTAGTTATTATATCGTTCCCTCCTTAACTGAAACTTGAGATTAAAAAAATGAAAGAGCAGTTGCAACGTATGAGAAAGTTACAAACAGAATATATATGCATTGGGATACCCTATAAAATATTGTGAGTAAGATGTGATGATTAAAGAATAAGATGCTTGTCTGGAATCTCCCTTGAACTTCCAAGCCATGTTTTCCAATCGATTGAGCATTCCATTATATGTACAATGCATTAGATGGCTTGGTTTTATTTATCTATCATATTTATTTAGCCACCCATCTCACACAAAGTGACTCTGGGCGGCTACTGGTTAACCCAACAGTCACCACAGAAACCTCTGTTGTTTTCTTTTGGAGGTGTTCTTACACTAAAGCCTTTCTGTTTGCAGGCCTGAAACCTGCTTCTTAATCTTTAAAACTTTAGAATGGGAAAAAGTATTTCTGTAAGCACCATTTTCTGAATAATGGCAACCCTACATAGACATCATGGTTTCTCCCATTGCCAGCAATGGAAAGTGAATGAGGCCAGTGACAAATCAAGGCTTCATCTACTGCAAAACAATGGGACCATAGAAGTTCTAGATGATGACAACAGGCATATAAATCCTTCCACCAGAAAATATCACATTATTGAAGGTTTTATTCATATTTTACCTGATAAAGGAATCAATAACAGGATTATGATATAGGAGTAACCAAGAATGCAACGAAGTATTTCTTTACTTCTATGGACTCTCATATTTTTTCAGCAGGTTCTGATCTGAAACACACATAATTGGAATTTTAAAGCTCTTCTCCTTTGTACTTATAACTTTTCAAACAAAAACCCATGCAGTTCAAAATTAACAGCATATTACTTGGTTCGCTGTATAAAATTTCAGTCACAAGTACTATGTGTTTCTCCTGTGAAACCTCTCAGAGATAACCCATTTTCTCTGAATCCTTGGGACCTCATCATTTCATTTCATTTCATTTCATTTCATTTCACTTCATTTCATTTCATTTCATTTCATTTCTTTCATCTTTCCTCTCTTCATCTTCTTGGGAATTATCTGCCTTGGAGGTTGTGAATTTAGATGCAAATTGATCTGATTGATTCTTTCTAGACTAATGTGCAGATTGCACATAAGTATGCAGGCAGAAATATAAATAAATTCTCAGGATTATAAATAAGCATGGTTAAATACTATTTGGATTGAAATATAAACAATAAATACACAAAGTTCGAAATATAAATGAATACATATGAACACAAAGACAAATGGCTACTGTTTCTCTTGCTGAATTTAGCCCTAATAATTCTGGTGCTGTATACTTTGAAGCACAAATTTCGC